AGGCGGGGAACGTTGGAGTCCGCCGTCACTGGAGCAAGCAAGCCTCCCTGTTCGCTTCAGTGCATGGCTGCCGGCCGCCATCTTGGCTGACAGTTAATTTGCATAAGGATATGCTGATTAGCCAATGGGAAGGGAAGCGGTCGTACGCTAATTACCATGTTTCTCTTTTATTAGAGTAGATTGAGAAGTACCATAGGACATTACGTTCATAAGTAACATATTTAAAGGCTGATAATAAAAATACTGATTATAAATGTTGACCTACAAATCTTAGGAGCATGACCCATTCCAAGTGTTCGGTAAGTGGTATTCAACTTACTGGGACATATCAACTTCTACTGGGACAAACTAAAGTTAGAAAATAGGTAAATCATCCACTTCCCTACATGTTTTCCACAGTTGTGTTTATCATTGATGGATAGCTTCCATTTCCTCTTCTGAGTCATTCTCTACCTCCTCTTCTTGCTCTAGGCCAGCGGTTCTCAACCTGTGGGTCGCGACCCCTTTGGTGGTCGAACGACCCTTTCACAGGGGTCGCCTAAGACCATCCTGCATATCAGATATTTACATTACGATTCATAACAGTAGCAACATTACAGTTATGAAGTAGCAACGAAAATAATTTTATGGTTGGGTCATAACATGAGGAACTGTATTTAAAGGGCCAGAAGTTGAGAACCACTGCTTTAGGCTCTGGGAGACTAAACTATAAGGACACATTAACAAGTTCCTTTGTCCTTTGGATTTTGATTAGGTTTAACTTTTGTTAAGGTATGGCAAATGGGTAGCACCAGCAGGAGACTAATATAAGGGAAGTGACTGTGAAATCACCCTTTAACCAAATACCACAACTTTTTTAAAAATACATTTTTATTGATTTGAGAGAGGAAGGGAGAGGGAGAGAGAAATAGAAACATCAATGATGAGAGAGAATCACTGATTGGCTGCCTCCTACACACCCCCTACTGGTGGCTGAGCCCACAACCTGGGCATATGCCCTTGACCAGAATCAAACCAGGACCCTTCAGTCCACAGGCCGACAGTCTATCCACTGAGCCAAACCAGCTCAGGCACCACAACTTTTCTTAATGGACCTCTTTGACTCCAGATTTATACAACTGTTTCTTCCTCTTACATGCTTTGGTGTGTTGGTGATCAAAGCCCCTATTCTGCCTATCCTGTTTGGTTTCCCTATGCATAATATTTCCCTAATAAATAAGCGCTTTATTAAAATATTCTCAAATTATATAGTATCAACAAACCATCTATTTCTTGACAGAATATTAATGATGTAATATCTGATGAAATCTTGAAATCTTGGTAAATAGATTGAAACCACCTTTTGCTTTTCCCAGCCTAGATATGTTTTAGGCCTAATCTCTACAAAACATTCCAACCTGAGGACACTCTGATAATTACAGTTTTTTATTGTCAGATCATCAATCTCTTTTTACTGTCCTGAGGTGTCTAGGTCCTCATCTCAGTGTCTTTCAATGCTTGGTTTCCTTAACTGTCTTTTAGATGTTCCTTAGGATTTTGTCTGCCACTTTCTCTTTTCACTCTTTATTATCTCATCTATATCACAGTTTTAACCATCATATGTTGGTGGCCATGTATCTGTATAGATCTTGCTTTATCTCTTTCCAGAGCTCCAGATATTCATTTCTAAATACTTTCTGAATATTTCTGTGGATGTGCCACAGATACCACAGATGTAGCATGCTTAAAAATGAAGCCACCATCTTACCGTAACAAGTCCTTCTCTTCCTATTTTCCCCAGTTCAGGAAATGGTAGATCAGTTGTCCTGGTGCCTAAATCTGAAACTTAGAAACTATTCTTGATTATTTTCTCTTCCTCTTCACCTTAATGTCTCTTAAATCTATTCCTATCTTTACCACACACCATTATTTAACCAATGCCTTTATATTTTGACTACAACATTTCCTAAGCAGTCCTCTCCCTTGCTTCAGCCCATTCCATGTGCTACTTAAAGGGTTGGGTAGCCCTGACATGATGGGGAGGCCTCTTCAAGATTGAGTCCTTGCTTGCCTCTCCAGACTTATTTATACATTTCCCACCACAAATTACTCTAGTTATATGAAATATGCTTCAAAGAACCTTTCCACTATTGTTGGAACATTCTTCACTGGAATTAAGCATCTCTATTTGCCTAATGACTACTTGTCTTTCCAAATTTGGCTCTTTTTAAAGTTTACAGACTCCCTAGCACCATAGTTAGAGTTGCCTACATATTCAATGACCCTGTATCTATCTCTCTCACAAAACTTATCACATGGAATTTCCAACTATCACTCACCAATCTCCTTCAGTAATATAAGAAGTGTCTATAAACTGGACTGGTACAATACCAAATCCACCTGAACCATAAATGTCCAATACAATAAGTGGCATAAATTGTGTTCCTATTGAAAGTTTGTGAACATGTGAATGAATGAATGTGAGTTTACAAAATATCATTCTAAATCAGTAGGTAAGCCCAGGAAAAAAAAATTATTCCCCCTTGGGAGGAAACTTCCATCATTGGATGCTTTTATTTTGTAATTTTGTTCCAGCATTTTGTCCATTATTCATTTTCATACAATTTACCGTATAGAGTCAGAACTCTTAAATACTTTAGAGATGGGTAGAAGCAATTCTCTCATGATAGCAGTCTATTCCTAATGTGGACTTATTTCCCTTTAGGAGCAGAACTTCAGATATTGCTACCGCATCAAACACCAATTTTTAACAAATCTCTAAAAGTATAAGGATACAGTACTTTCCTAAGCATTGCTATTTAAAGTCAAATATCACGTGATTATATTGAACTTACTATGATTCCTATCAGCCAAATAACATTAAAACCTTGATGGGAAAAGAAATAAGTAATTAGACAGACTTTTTCTTTTCTATTCATTTCCATTTGTTTACCTTGCCTCTAAGAAAATATTATAAGACTTGACAAGTTGGCTTTATTACAGAAAGAATATACTCGTATTTAATAACAGGGAGATAGAAAACCAATCTCTAAGTTTCAGCCAGGAAAAGAAGTTCACTGATTTAAGGATGAAACCTTTTTTATTTTACTTTTAAATTTACAGTTAAGGCTGAAACCTTTAAACATTCAAAGGCTGCCTTCCTTTTCCTTCATTCATCTTTAGTTTTTTCCAATAGTCACTATAATTCTGGATGCCCACACTAAATAGGGCACTGATATTGCCTTATATTTATTTCATTGTTCCCCTCTTACAGTTACATTCCAAAGTGCTTTTTACTATTTCAAAAAAAAATATGGTCATTAACATATGGTTTATGGAGCTCTATTATTGCAGCCCTTGCCAAAAATAGAGTATAGATAACATACTATAAAATCAAGCAAATAAAAATAATTACATAAGATAATAATGGTGCTTTGATCCCATCACAATTATGTGCTTACCTTAAAGTTTTGCATAATTACTTAACTAAAACTCTTCCTTTTCTTTCTGACATAGGCTAATTATAATGAAAATAGAAGGTGCTAAATAAAAGGGCTTGGGATTTTACATGTATTCTCTCAAATCCTCACAGCCCTGAAAGGTAGGTATTATATGGATGAGGAGACTGACTCAAATAACTTTCCCAAGACTGCACAGGTAGTAACAAGGATGAGATTAAACCTATATCCTTAGAGTTTACACAGATTCTTAATGAAATTATATTTGCCCAGGTAGTTGTCCAGGTCTAGCCCCTAACTACACATATTCATTGAAATGAATATTTTCCCATAGCGCTTTGCTTGATCCTCTTCATTAACATTTATGGTGGGAAGAAATGATAATTACATGTCTTTAATCCATTTCCATAAACATTTGTTAAAAAATTAACCAATACATAAGACCATCCCCATATGAATGACACAGAGGTGAGTAAGAAAGGAAATCAGATAAGTTTAACAGAGATTAATGTGACTACACAAATAGAATGCTTCTAGAGATGCTAAACAAGGGCTATATGTTTTGTTTAGGAACACAACACAAAGAACTATGTTATTGATGATATGGTCATGGTATGACTCTAGAGAATTTTGTTTTATTTGTCAAGCTCTCTTGATCATTCCCAAACAGCATTTCTTCCCTGGCACATTAAGTTAGTGAAATGACTCACAGCAGCTGGATTCATCTTCATTAAAGTGGCAGTCAGGCACTCCATCACAGAGCAGGAGGGATGGGATACACTCGTGGGTAGAGCACTGGAACTCCCTTTTACCGCAGAGCTGAGGAGGAGGGCTGAGAGAACAATCTATTTCATCCGATCCATCTATGCAATCCTCCTGTCCATTACATTTCCCTGAGAGAGGGACACACTGGAGTGTGTAGACACAAGAAAATTGATCAGCTTCACAAGGTGGTGGCTGTGTTGTGACAGGACCTGAAAAGAGAGCATATCAAGTCACTTTTGGCATTAGGAGAGTTATATCTCTGTCTAGTGTTGAAACATTGTCAGCTATATTTATTCTTTATTAAACATAAAATATTTTGGTAATTTAAGTCAATTAATTTCCAATTAGGAATTATATGAACTCCACAAAACATGCAAACATGATTAAGAGAAAATGCCTTATCTAAATCTCAGAAACAAGTCTTTATTTTCTTTGTTGATTAAGGTATTACATATGTGTTCTTATCCCCGCATTGCCCCCCCCATCCCCCCATTCATATCCTCACCTCCCTGGTGTCTGTGTCCATTGGTTAGGCTTACATACATGCATACAAGTCCTTTGGTTGATCTTTCTCCCTTACCCCCAACCTCCCCTACCTTCCCTCTGAGGTTTGACGGTCTGATTGATGCTTCTCTGTCTCTGCATCTGTTTTTGTTCATCAGTTTTTGTTGTTCATTATATTCCACAAATGAGTGAGATCATGTGATATTTATCTTTCTTTGACTGGCTTATTTCGCTTATTAAGCCTTAGTATATTGCTCTCCAGTTCAATCCATGCTGTTGCAAATGGTAAGAATTCCTTCTTTATTTACTGCAGCATAGTATTCCATTGTGTAGATGTACCACAGTTTTTTAAAACTCATCTGCTGATAGGCACTTAGGCTGTTTCCAAATCTTAGCTATGGTAAATTGTGCTGCTATGAACATAGGAGTGCATATATCATTTCTGATTTGTGTTTCTAGTTTCTTGGCAAAGCCACTGTTCTCAAAACTGCCTGGTACTGGCACAAGAACAGACATATAGACCAACGGAATAGAATAGAGAACCCAGAAATTGACCCAAACCACTATGCTTAATTAATATTTGACAAAGGAGACGAGAACACACAATGGAGTCAAGACAGTCTCTTCAATAAACGGTGTTGGTAATATTGGACAGATACATGCAAAAAAATGAAACTAGACCACCAACTTACACCATACACAGCATAAACTCAAAATGGATAAAGGACTTAAACATAAGATGGAAAAACCATAAAAATATTAGAGGAATCCACAGGCAGCAAAATATCAGACATATGCTGAAGCAATATCTTCACTGATACAGCTCCTAGGGCAATGGAAACTAGAGAAAATAAACAAATGGGACTACATCAAAATAAAAATGCTTCTGTACGCAAAAGAAACAATCAACAAAACAAGAAAGCCCACTGCATGGGAGAACATATTTGCCAATGTTATCACCAATAAGGGTTTAATCTCCAACATTTACAGGGAACTCATACAACTTAACAAAAGGGAGATAAACAACCCAATCAAAAAATGGGAAACGGACCTAAATAGATACTTTTTGAAAGAGGACACTCAGAAAGCCAAGAGACATATGAGAACATGCTCAAAGTCACTAATCATCTGAGAGATGCAAATCAAAACAACAATGAGGTACCATCACACACCTGTCAGAATGGCTATCATCAACAAATCAACAAATGACAAGTGCTGGCGAGGATGTGGAGAAAAAGGAACCCTCTTGGACTGCTGGTGGGAATGCAGCCACTGTGGAGAACAATATGGAGTTTTCTCAAAATACTAAAAATGGAACTGCCATTTGACCCAGTGATCCCACTTCTAGGAATATGTCCCAAGAAACTAGAAACAACATTCTGTTTTTACAGATGAGGATAGTGAGGTCCATAAAATTTGAGTGTAAAAAGATACAATGCCAGTTGATAAACTTTTACTATGTGGAAGTATTCTGCAGCAACTCTAAGTCAAAACTTAAAGTGTCAGCAGAGTCCTGTATATTCACATATATTCTCTAGAGGTCAGAGAATATATGTGAATATTCAGGACTGTATTATTCTCTGGAATATTAGTGGAATTAAATATACAGGGCTGTATTAATTTGCTAGAATATCATTTAACTGTTCTTATTCTTCACATTGTTCTGTGACAGTTGTTGATGCGCACATCAGTATATTAAGCGAAAAAAATAGATAGCATTGGGGACCAATTCAGAAATAGTTTATTTTGTGTTCTTTACATTTTAAACTTTTAATTTATAAAATATATGAGAATTATTTGTTTTATCTATAAAGATGGTTGTGTGAATTCATTTTAAAAATGAAATTTGAAAGTTCTCCCTCTCCAGTGGTGGTGTTATATTCAGAATGCATTTAAACTCAAACACTATGATCAAACTCTATGTATCTGAGATCTATGTGGTATCTCAGGGAGTCTTTGTTCATGAAAACCAGCATATTTAATATTTGGAGGCGTAAACATTTTGAAACATTAGTACCATTTTTTTATCTAACCGTCTAAGATCATAGCAGCATATAATATTGCAGTGTTCCAATGTCAACATTGTAAATTCAAACTTAACATATTTAATATTTGGAGACGTAAACATTTTGAAACATTAGTACCATTTTTTTTTCACTTCTTACTGCAGCACTTTTATTTTCCTCACAATGACGTGTTGCTGGGGCCTAATGTTCTCACATGACAGTAGAAAACCAAAATTTGTCATTTCTGAAAGAATCGCGTACAAAAACCTTACATAAATTAAAAGGACGAAGATTTACAGGTGGAAATGCAGACCGTTTTCCAACTCAAGGCAAGTAACAGCCCAGGAGTTCTGGCATAGCAGCATATAATATGCAGTGTTCCAATGTCAACATTGTAAATTCAAACTTAGAAAGTAAACTGGGCTTTGCAATATATATATATAAATACAACTATATATTTAAAGCCATGGTCAATTAAATAGTTTCTCTTCATTCTTTTTGTTGGATTCATCTCATATTTAAGGAAGGGCAGACATCCTTACTTTTAATTTTTTTCTAAAATATTTTATTCACTAAACATTTATTTTTTGAACTAAACAAAGGTTAAAAAAATTGAATGAACATTTTTGCATGTGATGAAAATCTAGTTTTATTTTGAGGTAGCAATGTCATCAAATTTCAGAGCCATTTATACCAAAAGGTACTCACAACTCACTTATTCTAGACCCTTCTAAACAAAAAAGCTGAGGCACTTGTACTGTCTATAAAGGATTCTGTGTTCTACTGCCAGTAGTGGATTCCGTCTGCTGGGGTTCTTGTTCCGGCAGTAAGAAGGGTTCAGTAATCTGGAGAAGAGGCTGTGCGTAACTTAATAAAGAGTCCAGAGACGAAGCATAATTTTGAAAGGCATTGGAGGTCAAAGGAGCCTAGCTAAAGTAACTAAGATCTCCTTGTCTCAGGACCCCTTGCTTTTTATTAACACAAATTGTCCTGAGGCGAGGCAGAGATATACACATCAAAGGGGCAGGTTTCATTTACAGAGTCCATTGTCAGATTGGAAAAATTTGTCTATGGCTGTTCAGGTGTTTGGCCAGTAGGAGGCAATAACATGTAGATTAAGATGCCCTGAGCTGTCTGGCAGCAGGCAATCAATTTAATGCATCCTTTTCAGGTTTGAGGAAATGCCTTTAGCCACTCCAGATTCAGCCCTGCTCTCATGCTGGAATTGGCATCCGGCACATCTTCCATCAAGATTAAGGTGTTCATTCTCACATCTGCCAGGAAATTACCAGATGACAACTCACAAATGAGTTCAGCTCTAGGAATTTCCCTCTAAGTTGCACTGCCTCACAAGAACAGCTCCATTCATTGACTGGTTAATTGTGGATAAGATGACTCAACCCATATGTCTCAATTTGGGACAACTATGAGGACCATTATAACCCGAGAGTTCCCCATGGCAGCCACTGAGTCCCACTATTGCACCTGCATCACAGCTCAACCCTCCCTCTGCCCAGTCCTGCTCCTTCACTTCACAAGGCTTGTTCCTGGGAGAATTTCCAATAGACCTTCTAATGGAAATCTTTGCCTCAGAGTTCACTTCTCTGGGAACCCAATCTAAGATACTATCCAACCGTCAAAATATGTCTTGTCTTAAATTAAATCTCCCTTGAATCACTTCTCAAATTTTCCACTGAAATATTTCTAACGTAAGAGAATATTAACTTGCACCCTTCTGGGAGTCTAAGTAGGCTCTTAGCCGGAAGCACTTCTCTGTAAGTTCAACATTTCTTTTAAGTCTCTTGTTTTATCTAGTGAATGTTCTGCATATAGATGTTTTTTAATATAAAAGCTTCCTCCAGTTCTCATTTCAAATAAAATGATTACTCATGGAAGATGAACTATGTTTATCTTTTGAATTGAAAGTACATATTCTATATTCTCTCTTTGAGAAGTTAATAAATTTTCCAAAAATTTAATATCATTATATTTATATTTTAATGTCACCCTTGAAGTTACCTAATTATTATAGGTCATATCTTTTTATATAATTCCGTAAAAAAATGAACAGGATTAATTGTTCCCTGTTTTAAACTGAAAAATCTTAGCACCACCTTAAATGCATATTACTAAGTGAGAATAGTCAATCTAAGAAGGGTACATGTTGTCTGATTCTGTCTATATAACATTCTAGAAAAGGCAAAACTGTGGCTAGAATAAAATGATCAATGGCTAACAGGAGCTGAGGGGAAGGAAGAGTTGAGTACATAGCACACAGAGGATTTCCAGAGCAGTGTCATTCTGTATGACACTGTAACCGTGGATACATGCCATGCCATAGGCTGAGTGTCCGTGCCTCCCCAGATTTCCTATGTTGAAACCTCACCCCATGTCATGATATTTGGGGATGGCCCCTCGGGAAGTGATTACGTCATGAAGCCCTAGTGAATGGATTAGTGACCTTGTCAAAGTGGCTGAAGACAGCTACCTTGCTCCTTCTGCCTCCCGAGGACACAGCAAAAAGGCACTGTCTATGAGGAGGCAGTGTTTTCTGGACACCAAATCTGAGTGTGGAGGGAGATGGGTATACATGAACTCTCTGCAATTCCACTTAATTTTGCTTTAAAACAAAAACTTCTCTAAAAATTATATACAACATAAATACACACACACACACACATATAAAATGTATACTTTAT